ATACCCCCCCCCCCCCCCCCCCCCCGGCCCCCAAGTTCGTGAACAACCGCAGCATGGGAAGGAAATTCGTGAAAAGCCCCTTTTAAAAGGCCCCCCATCCCGATTTGTGAGTCAACCGTGAGTAACGTCACTTCCAGCGTGAATCGCAGCACCGTCACGAACCGCATCTTGAAAAAACCCTCGCAGACTTCCAAGTCAATGAACTCATTGAATGTCGAGCAGCGACTGCATCACGAACTGATTCCGCGTAACTGATCGCTGGGCATGGTCAGTTCATGACATTTCCGCTTTCGAATGAAATCAATTTCGAAAATTCTTCCTTCTTTGTGTCTGACAAGATCTTGAAACAACTCGATTTCTTCTTTGATGGACTAATATAACGCGGACTAGGAATTCAGCTCGGAATCCCCCCAAAAAAGTGGATGATGGGGAAGGACGGTCGTGCGAGTACTGGTACTGGATGGTACTCGATGCGAGTACTGGAAATTGAATTGAACGAACCAAATTGATCTCATTACGCTACGAGGATCTGCGATGTAATCTCTTTTTGGGGGGAATTCTCAGCACTAATTTTTCGATTAAAATCCACGGATGCAAATTTCCAAGCCCCGTCCGAACAGTCCACTCTTCTAAATTCGAGAGTGAAAGCATTTTTGTACTGCCCGGTCCAGAGCGATCCCTAATACAAATTATAGTTTTTTTTTATCTGGAAAAAGTCTTCACCATGTCAAATATCATATCCTAACCCAGGCGACTCTCAAATCCAATAAAACGAGTGCTAAAAAAAAAAGAGGAAAGTCTTCCATGTGTGAACCAGTCCGGGACGATTCTCGATGCGAACAGAAAAAAAGCGGAAAATCCTCGGATCTCAGTGCCATCTCGCACGTCGAATTTCCAAAATCTCAAGGACGAGGTCAAAACGCGTATGTGCGAGGAATCGCAACCCTGCTTCATCGGCAACCCTGCACAGTCAGCAGACGAATCCGAGGTTTCGTTATTTCCCGCCTTCCCGGCCTCCCTCGTCGCTCGCCGGGGATGGCGTCGTCTGGTCGGGTCGATCGGTCTCGGGTCTCTTCGTTCCTCGGATGTGCTCCGGTTGCTGAGTCGCGAGACGAAATTTCTCCTGGGCTCTCACCGGATGGCTTCATCATCGATTTCTTCACGCAGACTTTTCGGTCTTACACTCGAGAGATCTTCAACGATCGAGTGCGAATATCAATTTCATCATGCATCGGAGCACTTTCAGTAATTTTGCTTTGAACCTTTGCAGCCAGCTCTGTTGAGGAAATCCTGGCATCTGCTTCGCAGGCACCAGATTTCCGCTAGATTTTTCATCGTCATGGCCAATGTTTCAGCGTGTCTGCACTATGTTGCGTGCAAAATGCACATTTTGCATTGCGCAAAACGAAGTGATCGGGATGCGAATTTCTTCGCGATTTGTTTTTTTTTTACTTTCTACAATTTTTTACGAGCATGATGTTTTTGACTCCTTAAGGGATGAAACGGTTGGATGGTTTGTCGATTGGTGTTCAGTCCGCATCTAATAGGGAGTCAAACCCTTAAAAAAAAAATTACCGTTCTCCCCTCATTTACCGCTCTTTTGCCTACATTTTACCGCAGTTTTACCTCAGTGTTTCACCTCCACCCCCAATTTACCGCTTTTACACGTCATTTACCTTTTGTTACCCGTATGGATGTTGTGATCAAAGAACAAAAGCATGACTTGCATAAGAGAATCACGTCGTGAAATAGTCGGCAACATTTATTTCTAAGCTCACGACATCTCGGTCTGATCATAAGTCTGTTGTTCTGAATTCTGAGTTCTGAATGCACTTTTACACTGGACTATTCCGAGTTGAGTAGTCGAAAGTTCACAGACCCTGAGATAAGCTTAGCCTAACCTCCAAGGAACCAAATCACATCCCACCACAAAGAACATTTTTGAGAAAGAGCCGAACCCCTGACACTAACCGAAACTGGCTTGCAGTCACGACGGCTACCGAGCGATATGGAAAACAATGTATTAATATTTCCAAGGATAGCAAAGACGAGCGCGAAGGTGCGAAGGTGAACTTTCCCTTGGGTTAACCGGAATTTTACCTTTCAGTCTTATCTCTTTTCAAGATCCTGCTTGAGGAAGAGTCGTTTCCCCTGAGCTTCAGATCAAAATCGGGGATTCCCCTCTTTTCCCCCGTTTTTTCCCCTCTCTCAACCTGTCAGAAGACCCTCAGGTAAAGATTAGGTGAAAAAGCGGTTAAATATAGGTGAATGAGGGTTGAGTAACGTTTTGTAAGGGAAGATATCAGGAATAAAAAATTGTGGTACATACAAGAGAACATTTTACTTCGGTTCGTTTTAGCTATCCAGTACTTGAAAAACGTGCTACCCATATCAAAGATCAGAATCTTAGCTCAAATATCATAGCAATTTGCCCTGTGCCGATCCCTCCAACTCATAACCCGCCCGTATGCTTATCATGTTTAGTTCTGAGCATTTTCCAGTGCGGAATACGAGTATTCTTTTTGAAGTATCGGCTGCACCACTCTGTGATTTCATTGTTAGATGTCTTCAGCTTTCCTTCGTATGTCTACTCATTTGGAAAATTTTATTTTCTGCTACATTGGATATATATTAAATAAAATATAAAGACACATAAATTCATAATTTTGAACACCAAGATTAAAGAGGATAAAACGTGCTTCAGCTTATACGCTACAGGCGGAGATTCGATGCAAAAGTTTACTTTTATTTCGAATTTCACAGCAGGTGAATAATGAACGCGAAGCAGCACAGACACCTCGGCCAGCTTTAATATTCGCGAAAGGGACGCAGAGAAACAAGGAACTGAAGCGATGCAACCGAGAAAGAAATTTTGCTGCTTCTTCGAGCCTTTTGTCAGGGGTTGTTAGGCCCTCGAGCCCCTCCCAAGATTTGTGCCGACTTAAACATCCCTTGACAGCCTGGACAAGGGTTCGAGGGGGAAAGTCGAAACGGCTCTCTTGATATTCAAGGGGAATTCGAGGGGAAGAAACGTATGAGGGAATTCTCGCTTCGGGGTAGAAAGGGAAGGATGGACTGACATGCAGGCAATTGAAGGGGGAGGGGGAAATGCTGCTTCGGAAGGGGGCGGGACAAAGAAGAGGGGGTCTCATCTCCAGGGGTTTTCTAATCCAATTGGGGAGCATGGGTGCGTCCCTCCCTCTCTCTAAGGGGGATGAGTCAAGGAATAAGTGGGGTGGGGGTGAAACACTGAGGTAAAACTGCGGTAAAATGTAGGCAAAAGAGCGGTAAATGAGGGGAGAACGGTAATTTTTTTTTAAGGGTTTGACTCCCTATTAGATGCGGACTGAACACCAATCGACAAACCATCCAACCGTTTCATCCCTTAAGGAGTCAAAAACATCATGCTCGTAAAAAAAGGGGAGAGAGGAAGGGAAATAGGGAAAAGCAGGGGAGGAAATGAGGGAGCAGCCAAGAGGAAGATGGAGGGGTAGGAGGACAAGGATGGAGGCAGGATGGTGAGGAAGGATGGCAAGGGAGGGAGAGGGGATGGTGAGGGGGATCACGTCTGGAGGGCCTTCTTATTTCAGCATTTGTCGCTGCGTGGTGGAAAGGGACGGAGATCTTTGATATTCTGGCTCTTCGTTGCCTTTATAGGGTTTCTGTATCCGATGAAGAGGAATCCATTTGGCATTGAACTGTTGGAGAGGCGAATTCGATTGGGCAGGAAATTCGATTTGTCGCATCTCGTCTTCCTCTTTCCTCTTACAACTCTGACTTTTTTGCCGTGGACTGGAAATCCCATCAGGATAAAAGGAAGAAAGAGAAAAAAGAGAAATCTTCTGCGTCTCTTTTGTCTTATTTCTCTCCATCACGCTATGATAACGCCGTAGCCCCAACACCACGACGATGTCCATGCAATTTTCATTCCCTATCCCTTCGTCTACGAATGCGACAGTCCATATTGCACGAGACCATCCATATCCTGCGAATGCGCGCAGCGAAATTTTTTACATTTTATTTACCTGGATCCGCGCCTCATTGAGCTTGGTGATCCTGGCCAGCTCCTCTCGGCAGTAGATATCTGGATAGTGAGACTTGGAAAAGGCTGCTTCCAATTCCTGCAGCTGTTCCTGCGAGAGATCAATATGAATTTTTGAAGGAAAATTTTGAAATGATGAAGAACGGTATGCTTTAATTAGAATTGATCAGCCTGGAAAGCGGCAACTCAAGACATGAACAGTCTGATATACTGTATAAATGAGCCTTATATAAAATCATTGTTCAAACGTTTTTTCTTCATGTCTCCATCCATCCATCCATCATAAAGAAAGCATGAAAAAAAAAAACGCTGCCCTATATACATTACATCGGTCCACTAGGCTCTTCGTAATTTCATTTGTTACCTTCGCTTCAACGTGACCTCTCGTCTCCTAAGACACAATGATTCGATAGCCCGCAACCCAAAAAGCAGTCACGACCCAACAGCCGACAGACCTGTGTGAAAGTAGTCCGATGCCTCCTTCGAGCCGGCGTGGGGCAAGTGGTGGTGGCCGCGCTGGGTCCGTGCCCGGAGGACTGTCCCGCGTGGGTCAGACTCCCCACGGCGGCCGCGGCGGCGGCTGAGCCGCTGGTGCTCCCGCTGCTCGTTCCCGGCTCGATCTTCAACTTCTTGAATGCGCCTTCTCCTCCTTCAAACGCATCAAATTTTTTTTTTTTGCATATCATGCTGATAGCTGACAAAACTGAATTTAAGCCCAGCCTGAGACTTGCACTCCAGCGAGCAGACACTAAATGACATTAAATTAAATGTAAAACTCTAAGTGCATCATTTCTGCGGCGGTATCCTTATGTAAGTTGCGGCAAAGATCCCTGTAGAATTTCGGTAAGTAACGAAATTGTTTTCTAGACTGCCGAATTTAATTTCGGTCGCAACCTAAAAGCCCGAAGAACAAGATCCCAAGGATTCCTGGAATTCTTGAGAGAGGTCGAAGAGCTTCCAGGAAAACTCCGAAACGAAAGCCCATCGAAGTTAATGAAGGGAGAAATCCTCCGAGAGAGAGATTTTTTCAAGATACGGCTTTCCTCTAAGTCGAGGGATGTTTTTTTAATAGCCAATATCGCATTTCGGGTCCTGTCATAAGAGTTGTGCCTTTTTCTAAATGAAATATATCTAAAACTTCATTAGTTTGGATTTTATTTATATCCTAGATTAATTATGTGAAATTTCCAAAATCAAAGATCCAATGGATGGAATCTGCAAATATTTGAGTCGGTGACGAAATCCGAAGCCTGTGATCAGGCGAAGACAATTGGGTCAAATGCCTGCCGAATGCCTGCCAAATGCCTCTCTGTAGGCTTCGTGCCATGTGCCGGGGACGGAACGCATGAAGCCAGTTGTTTCAAATTTTCGCTCGTGTCAGACAATCTTCGGCTGACACAAAGAATTGAAGGAAAAAAAAATATTTAAAAAATCCGAAACATTTCGATGGAAATAACCTAGAAAGAGGATAACAGTTTCATAATGCTTCCTACTGGATAATAATTTTAAAGTTAAAATTGGAGGAATAAGTAGGAAATAGACGGGAAACCGACATCTCTCGGCACTGAATACTGAGAACTAAAGAGATCTGAGAACTAAAAATGAGACAAGTGTAGCCCAGGCTTAAGGGTAGGCTCTACCCTTAATTTTCAACTTGAAAATTGGAAAGCGCTCTCTTGCGAAAGTACTCTGTCTCACCCCTATAAACAGTATATCAATGAATTACTTAGAGCTCCTTCCATTGAGTGTAGCACCAAGTACATCATCAAGTACTAGTCAGTACTTAATATCTATATCTCTTAAACGGCAAGATCGATCGCAAAACCACAAGACGAACCCAAAGAGACTTTCATCAAGAAACACTACACCATCTTCCTCCTCCTAATTTGGGCGCATTTTCATGCAAATCGAGCAAAACTTTTGCGCCACAGAGTCTCATTATAACGGTCTGGTTTCATTCTCTAAAACCAGGTGGCGAAAGTGTCCCAAGCAATCGCGGAATCAGCGCTGTAAATGAGACCCCCCCCCCCCCCCCCCTCCCCCGCCTGTTTCCTATTAGCCGGTCGCCCAGGATGGGTCTGGCGAGTGCCTTCATGGATGTGAAGAACGGAGGGTGAGCGTTTCCCCTCGAGGAATCCACGTCTAGACGGGGGAGGAAGGGAAGGAGAAACACGAAGAAACCAGACAGTGAAGGGGTTTTCCTTCCATGGCGTGGAAATGACGACTTCTTTCGTAAATGACTCCTGTATTCAATAACCTGTCCTGGTAAACGGCTGAGTATGCTCCGCCGCATAAATCGAGAGTGTAAACTCTCTGGTGCGTGGGGAGAACAGCCTGTTACTACGATCTCTGATGCGGCTTTTTTCACGTTATTATAAGTCATCTTTCAAAGCTCATATGTGTGCATCGAGGAGCACATCTCATGACACCTCACACGCTATGATTTTGCCCATGTATGACTGCTCACATATGAGCTATGAGCTCGTGTAATCAGGGTCTATGAGCGACTCATAGACTCACATGAGTGGGATAGCAACTCATAAGGTCTCTAGACATAATTGACTTTCTTGCGATCGCTCATTGCAAGTGTGGTCCCTGATAGGTTGGTATGGTCAGCCAACATGGTACTTCCCGCATGACGGTATCAACTCCCTTGATTTTGGGTTCAATGAGGGCCAGTAGTTCCATGAAGATGCCATGATTCATCCTCAGAAGAGCACGGAAACGATGGGGAGCTTCCTAAGGCAATTCTGGGAAAATATTGACTTAAAAACCCTTTTTGTCGCCTCCTTGCCAGCCGTTTTTGCATCCACTCACGTCTGTCACATTTTCGACTTCGTTGACATCCTCTAAGCTTCCTCAATAAAGCCCCTGCAACCATTAAAAAAAAAGGAAGATCCAGAATTCAAAATTTTACCCCTGGAAAATTCCATCCCGATCAACAGGCAGACAGGGCCACTGCAGGAGAGGAACTAAGCATGCAACAAACGTTGTCCTGAAAGCTCACAAGGTCTCCTTAAAGCGTCTAATCACCTGCTCGTAGCAGATTCACTTATATGGGAGCAGTCATTTACGAGCAAAATCAAAGCATCTGATGGCGCCTTCAAGTAGGTGAACTGGATATGAGAATTGAAGTGATACATGCCAAGTGAGCTAAATATACTCATCGCCAAACAAATTAACATTAGGAGTTGAGCGATCTTGATGAAATTTGGTAAACATACTCGTATTGGTGTGTCATGAAATTGATGCGAGTTTCAAAATCGTAGGTTGAATTTTCGCTGAGAAAACTTGACAAACATCCAAATTTTAAGGGTCTACTTATCGCCCACAACATCTAGGGCAGTGGTCGGCAACTGGCGGCCCGCGAAGACCCGGATATCGGACATTACGATCTGAGAATAGACGTTCAACTGCACGTTTGACATGAGACGTTCGATAAAATTTTCATTTTAATGACACTTGGTAGGCGCTGGCTCGCGAACGTTCAGCATTCTGCCATCCGGCCCGCCGTGAAATTTAGTTGCCGACCACTGATCCAGGAGTTTATTAATGGATTGCGGAATAGGAACTCCTCCTGATGCGTAATAAAATGCAGCAAGGTTTCAAGATCGTAGGATGAAGGGATGCGGAGAAAACATGCCAAACCCAGAGGAACATATACGGGCAGCGTCACCGATAGCGCTAGTTTCCTTTTCTGCTTCCCTCAAGCCATTTTGCTTATATGGCATTGTTGATTCTTTAACCCTCCAAGCGGCAGGAAACCCTTCCTAGCCTGTATTAACGTCGCAACTGCGACGTTTGCCGTTTAGAGGATTAACTAAGAAGCCATACCAAGACAATTTGATTCTTCAAAGTGATTCAGAATCTGTTATTGAAAAACTTGACTATCGCCCTAAAGGACTGGGCCGGGGAGTTCTACCTATCAACCCAAAAGCTACCCTGGAGGAATGTAGAGCGTCATGATATTGGTGAGAATTGGAATGCCTTTCGATGAAGGTTAATTGAAAAACGACAGGGTTTCTCGCATCACTACCGTCCTGGCAGTATGAATGGTTAAGGTAGTGCTACTGACAAGGATCAGTACCTGGGTGTCAATCCCCCACTCAGTAACGCGTATGTCCTCCATGCACAGCAATGCATGCCTGCAATCGGCGTGGCATGCTGTCAAAAAGGGGTGCACTTCCTTTTGTGGGATCTGCTGCTAGTGAGCCACCATTCTCCGCTCCAATTCATGCAGCGTCGTCGCAGGAGGGTCCAGACGATGATCACGGACGCGATGGCCAAGGCTGTCCCACAGATCCTCAATCGGAGAAAGATCCGGGGAGCGAGCCGGCCATGGTAGGGTGGGCACGTTGGCACCCTGTGGGAAGTTGGTCACTCGGCACGAGTGCGATCTGGCGTTATCCTGCTGAAAGGTGCTTGCTGGATCATTCTGAAGGAAGGGCATCAGGATTTCATCCAGGTAACGCTGGCAAGTGAGATTTCCATGGATGACCACAAGTTGAGATCGGCCGTTGAGGCTAATGGTTCCTCATACCATGATGCTGCCTCCACCATAACGGTCATGCTCCGACATACACGGCTTCAGAAACCTCTCAGTCGGCAGGCGACGCACTCGGATTCGCCCATCATTGAAATCTAAACAAAAGCGGGATTCATCTGAGAAGACGATTTCCCCCGACTCTTGAATCCTGCCGGTCACGACACCAGTTTCCAGGGCCTGACGATGGACTGGTCCTAATGGAATCCTAATGACAGGTCGTCTAGACCGCAGTCCCAGCCGGATTGCATGCTGGTACACAGTCCTTCCATGAGCACGGGTAGAAGCGAATTGGTCTCGGAGAATCTGCATACTCAAATATTGGTCATCCCTGGGCGCCGTGATCCTCGTTACCGTTCGTGGTTAGCCCCATTCTGATACATGCTAAGGCATCCATCATGCCAACTAACCGACCTCGATCGAATTAGTCATGTTGGCGACGCTGCCTTTGTGGACGTCGTTCTGGCACGGCTTTAAGGACGAAAAGTAAACGATTGAAGCAAAGCAGAGTGGATGGAGGGAAGCAGAAAAGGAAACTGGCCCGATCAGTGCAGTCGCCCTATTCCCCATCCCTCGGGGCGTTCGGCTAGCTCAGCAAGTTTTCCTTGCATCGCTTCATCGGATGACCTTGAAACTTTGCTCCGTTGTAATAAACATCAATAGAAGTTCCTGCTTCGCATTTCATTAATCAACTCCTTCTAGATGTTCGTTGTGGGCGATAAGTATGATCCTTTAAATTGGGATGTTTGGCAAGTTTTCTCAGCGAATATTCAACCTACGACCTTGAAACTCAATAATTTCATGAAACACTAATACGAGTATGTTGGGTGTTTAAGTCAAATCTTGGAATAGTTTGGGCGTCAACATATTTTGAAGCGGTATGACCACACCAATGTCTCGAGGCGATCGAATGCAGAACGTGGAATGTGAAGGAAGGAGTGAAAAAGGTGAAAGTTCGTTTCCCTCGATCAGATAAGAGACCCGTGGGATGTGTTTTTTTTTTTCCTTAAAGAAATGCTTCTATCGGAGTGAGCCCTGAGGGGAGAGAGGTGTAAGTTGACGCTATGCGACATCTACTGTATGAAAAGCCTTCGCCCCAGCTCAATTTTCAGAAGGGGTAAGACCCTGTTTAAAAAGAATCAT